AAAAAAAAAAAAAAAAAGGTCTATGTTTAGGCAATGATAAACAGAATCCCTTAAGATAAATGGTTGGGAACCTTAGAATGAGCCATTATAGAGTCTATCATATTGAACTTCTATTCTTCTACAGTGGCTCAGGACGGACAAACCAAACACTGGCTCTAGATATGGGTTTTTGTGGCCACGGTAGAGACACTGTATATGTATTCAGTTGGTTGCAATCTACAACTTCACCACTAGATGCCACTAAATCCTACAAACTGGTTTATTAACAATGGATCAAATTTAAAACGCGGTCACTTGTAGAGACAAACATAGAATTATCACCCATCTTTTAAAAATCTCAATCATCAACATTGTTTCCAGTTGCTGTTTTCAGTGAAAAGCCTCAGATAAACCAATCTTATGCAACCTGTTAAGGACCCAACAGCAGACACACAATGTTAGTGAGTAGCTGGTGAACATAGTAAAGCATTTCATAGCTAAAGAGCCAGAGACATTTCCCGTCCTTAGTAGAGACCAAAACAGAGCTAAAAGAGAGTGAATATTGGATTCATTAGATGATTTTATAAGGTGATAATAAGTGAACTTTTTTCATCTTGTTCTGTAGCCTTCAAGTGCTCAGAGATCTATTAATTCAGTTTTAATTCACTGTGTTAAAGCCATGGTTTGTACTCCATACCTAGGATGGATGTCTAGGATGAGGTTAGGAAACAAATGGGCCTCCGCAGGTTTAGTAATTCAGCTGTGTGTGTGTGCAGACACAGGTAAAGGAGATGAGTGGCGACAGGCATGAGATTTCATTTTGCCTCTGTAAAGCCTCACGTCAGTCCAATTATCTTGATTGTTATCAGTGGCTCGGGACGAGTGTTTGGTTGTAGTCAGAGCCGTTGCAAACAATATTCACCCATTTATTCCTGAAGAGAAACTCACTGTGAGCTCAAATCAGCTGACTTACTTTGTCAAGAAGAACATATTTCAAACAAATTCAGCCTGAGTGTTGGGCTGTGTGGAGTGATTACAAATACTACCCTGTTCTCTGACTGGATTTAACTCTCAGCTCTGACCAATGATGAAGCGGGAAACAGTTACATTAAACAAACAACCATCACAGTTAACAAAAGCTTCTTATACATTTTTTTGGGTAAAAACATATTTATTGCATGTTTAAGAAAATACCAAATATTCATACAACTTAACACTTGAGTTTGACACTGCAGATAAAGTTGGCAAATTGCTGCAGTTGTTCAGTTCTTTAACACAACTTTAGAAGATGAACATGGAAAAAGTAGATTTATTGCATTGTTAAGATAAAAAGCTCTAAACTGAGTTTAGGCTACTTCTTGTGAGTCAAACTTCCAGTGGGTTTCAAATGTATGCCATGTCAAAGAATTTAAGCCACTGTTGCCGTGTTTCCATTGACGTATTTCTTGCTCATTTCAAAGTATCACATTAGAAAAGTTGATGGAAAAATAGTTAATGTGCTTAAAGGGAGATGGAATTTCTGACATAGCAAACAATTAAATCACATGACTGATCAGCTGTGTCTGAGTCTACTATGGGTCTCCTTATCGCTCCCATGGCCCTATAATACACCCATGATGCTCTACACAGGTCTAATGTAACCTTCCTCACATTAATACATGAAACAAACAGAAATGTCATATTTCCATCCTGTTTTCTGCATTATTTTTCACCCTTTGAGGATCAGCAGGTTAGCTTTAATTACATCATCGGATTGCTACCACTTACTGCTTTTCTCAAAGAGCCAGCTCCTAATAATCGCACAATGGTAGTGAATGGAAACAAGCATTCTTTTGCATTTTCTTTTGCTGATTTACTCAAAATTCTGTAAAAAACAAAATTTGATTATTGGATGGAAACACAGCATGGGTGTAGGATTTGAAAATATCTGACTTTGGCACCCCCCAGTGGTAATATCAAAAAATACATCCATGTATCTGATCCAAGCACGTTGAGATAGTGGTTTGAAAGCATCATATAGAGTGCACCAGTTTCACTGCGGTTGTCTAATCTAATAAAAACCTTGCAAACCATTTGAAACTATAATCACATAAACGTTCTATACTTATTGGCTTTAATGTCAGTAATTGAATTTAAACCTATGTGTCCACCATGACAGTTACTGTCTTGATGTGTGTTCACCTTACTAACAACACTGAACACTATAATAAAATGATAACATTAAAACAATGGTGGCTGAGATACCATGAGAAGCACTATGCAGCCAGAGGTCAAAGGTGAGCTTCACTGCGGTAGGTGGGGACACCCAGTGGCTCCAGTCCACAAAGCGCTGTGGTCCGGCGGACACTCACCACCAGGCTACCATCGGGGTTAAGGGTCCCACTGACTGACAAGGGGTCCATATCCTCTGGGAACAAGGACTTATGAGTAAATGTGTCACTGATGCTTCCATCATCAAGTACCTGCAGGACAGAGACAGAATGTTAGGAACAGATGGGCTGTGGATCGAGGGATAGATCTGTAGAAGGAGGGGAAAGACATTGGAAAGGGTTAAACAGAGGGGAGAAAAGATGATGAAAAGAAAGGTCACCGAGCACTGGAGGATGAGGAGAGAAAGTGAGAAGAGCAAAAGGGCTAAGAAAGGCGTGAGGGCGAGAAATGAGGGTGAGAACAAGTGAAAAAGAGAGAGATGGAGAGGTCAGTGCTGCTCAGCTGGTGGACAGAAAGGGAAAAACAGGACAGGGAGGAGAGGGAGAGGAAATGAACACTGACTAGTTCTCTCTGAAGACGTTTTTGGCTGTTACAGGCCTTTAATGTGAGTTGAACGTTTGTGGATTTTTGCCAATTTGTCTGCTGACCCCTGTTAAAAAGATCTCCCTGCACCACGGCAGAGGCTCTCCCTTCTTCTTCCTCTCTCTCACCTTTTAAACATGATTATCATCAAACTGTGAGGGAGGAGAGAGAGAAGGCAGGACAGGCAGCAGGCAGGCTGCAGCTTGTCTGCAGATTAGCTGACAGAACATGTCAGTTTGACATGGAGGACATAATGGAGCTGATTATATATTTATTGTAGTGCCATTGGTCACTGTTTGTTTATGAGAAGACACTAATATTACCTCATTATCTGCAGCTGTATGTACAGTAGGGCTGATATTTTCAATATTATTCAGTGCTTCACAGCCTTTTAAGGTTTAAGTAATGTCTACTTGTGACCCCCTCACCATCAGTGTTGGAAAGTAACTAGTTAGTATATTTAATCAATTACTGTATTTAAAACAACAACAAATACCTTTTATTTTGTGTTGATTCTGGCGGCCCCAACTTGTTTAATTGATTTCGGGGGGGGAGTCCGACCAGATCCAACTCCACTGACAGACATTATAACAGCTATATAGAAATAGCCAGTATAAAGAAATATATATTTTTGCTGATTCCCTTAATCATCTGGTGAACTCTCATATTTGAATGACTCCAATTTGGAAATAATTTGATTCATCTATTCATTTACAATTATATAAAACAGGGGAAAGCAGCAAATCCTACAGTACACTATGTAGCAGTTGTTGTCGCATTTATATTATTAGTATCAGCAGCAGTAATTGTGTTATAATAACGGATTTAAGCAGATTTGGTTGATTTACTTGCTGGTCTGAATATATTGGCCATGTTTCTACACTAGCCCAGAAGGGACAAACCAAACGCTGGCTGTAGATAAGGACTTGCATGTTTTTCACATAGTTTCTCCTACACACTTCACAGCCCGCTCTCATTCCCAGGTCATAAATTACAGATGTGAGGGTTCAGTTGGTTGCAATCTACAACTTCACCACTAGATGCCACTAAATCCTACATACTGGTCCTTTAAAGATGTTGAGTGCTTCTAATGCTGCAGATCAGGTCCAAAATGCAACCGACTGCCCAAAAAACTGTGTCAGTCAGATAGCAGACGTGAGTAAGGTCCCTCTTACGCCTGATTCATTCCTAGTTATATGACAACTGTGGTGTGTGTGTGTGTGTGTGAAAACACACTTGAATCATTTTCACATATGCTCTGCTACTTCCCGCTCACACCATCAGAAGTACAAAAACACACCTCTGCTAATTCATTCACACACACACCTTCTGGGCGTGAATGACGACATGGTGGTTGTAGGCCATCACGACCACGTCATGCAGCTCAAACTGGCTGACATCAGCTGACATGTAGTAGCTGTCTCCCAGACATCGCACCCCACCACCTGTACTGCTCTGTCGGCCTGTCACAGCACCGCCTGCAGGAGCTGCAGGGAAACAACACAGGAGGTCTGTTTAGAATGACATGTAGAGGTGTGAGAGAACACGTAGAGCAGTGATGGATGGATGTTTAGATGGTTGGATAAACACTGAAACTCACATACAGAAACGTGCATTCATAAGAATACAATTAATAGAATATTCTGAAATGTCAATGGAAAGGTTTAGAAATGTATAGAAATGAATGACTGACAAGTATTAGAAAATGAATTACAGCATGGCATGAATTGTCTGTCATGTGCTGTCATGTCAATTGTCATTTATATTGGAAACATGGAGCCACAAAGTGCTCAATATGTAATAAATAAAAAATAAATATTATTAAATAAATAATAAACATTTTAATAAATTGTGTAGAATGTTTAAATAAACATAAAAATTGCTAGATATTTTAAGAATTCAAATCAATAATTAGTGGATTCTTTTTAAAAATCCTCTTAAAAGGTTTGTGTATTTCATGTCACTTTTTCTGGAAGTGTTGTTGTCACCAGTTCCTACCCCTTCACATTTTAGCCAATCACATGCCCCCAGCCGCCCAGGCTTCTTAACAGCTAGCTAGTGGAGCAACCACACAGAAGGACTGTCTTTTTTAGTTGTGTGTTTTCCTCTGAGGAACATCTCAATGCTGTGAAGGTGACTCCAGCACTGAGCTCACTGACTACATTTGGTAGCAGTTGTTGAGATTTCTTGATTAAGAGAAGCAAAGGGGGGTGTGATTGGCTGACAGATGAAAAGGGACATTATGAAATAAAAGGCGAGATGAAATATCTGGGAATTGGGGAAAATGCCATTATGAACTCAGATCTTCTATAATGAAATAAAGTCAACTCCAATAAAACTATAATAAGAAGAATGATGGAATAACATTTGATAATAATAGTCACAATTCTTTCACAAATTATTGGTTCATTTACAGATTTGTTCACATAATTATTTATTTCAATGTCTTATTTATTTATTTAATATAATTACTGAGCACTTTGGGGCTCCATATAAGTGTTATTGCTCAGTTGTTTGGAGTGTTTTTGTATTTTATGTTCAGACTAGAACACAAAGACTATTAAACGCCACAAGAGACTGAAGATTCTGTTTTGGCTGTAAATGTAGTTTACTGCCAGTCTAGAAAAAGAAAATCTTTCACTAAAGAATAGACTCAGGAGGAGCACCAGACACTTGTGGGTCTTTTTTTAAAAATTAGATTTGACATGTGAGAACTGAAATATTGATTATGCTTTAATCTGCCTGTAGCCACACCAGTAATAAACCTTTTTTTAATTGTGTTTTAACACTTCATATTAAGACTTTAGAAGCGCCTGTGTTTTACATTAGCACTTTTTTCTTTTATTTTTCCACCCTGATATTAGTACTTTATGTGGCCCAGTAGACGGTGTCTGAAGCCATATAGACTCTTTTTCTCACAGAGCACAGAAGCTCTTATGATTCTGGCTCATTACTTCTTTCTATGAGCCGCAGGTCTTTTTCTTCTCCATGGCACTTTGCTTTCAATCAACCCACTACTGTAATGTGAGATACTAATGCCTCTTTCCTGCTGGTGGAGGGAATGAGTGAAAGAGGCGCTACCCTATGCCTCAACAAATGCTACCAAGGTGCCCGTGAGCAAGGCACTAAAGCTTCAACTGCTCCAGTAGAGCTGTTAAGCATGATTATGCTAGAAAAGGCTCAGCCTTTCTTGTGTAGGATTTTCACAATATAATAAAAAATAGCCCATGATCAGTGATTTGTGATTGGTTGACCGCCACAGAACAATGATTGTCCAAGCAACCTATAAGCACGGCAGGCTTTGGATTTCTTCACATTAGTGCTGATCATAGGGCAAAAGAGCAATACTCTGTCTGTTAATGGCTTAATTGATTCAATCAATAGGCCACAAAATTAAGATACTTGAACTGAAAAACATAACATTATTAGTGCACATTAGTAAAGCGTTGAATAGAAATTAGTTTTTTGTTTTTTTTCTCATTGAACTTAAGCTTGTCACTTTGTCCAGTGGTTCCCAACCTTTCACTTACATGTACAGAAACACATAAAATAATAATCTAAAAAAAATCTACACAGCAGGCTTATGTCTCTATTATTTAAGATCTAAACTATGAAGACCTGAACACAAGCTACATTCACAGAGCCTTCACTCTCTGATAAACTGCCTCATCCTGCATTAGAAAAATACACAGTTAAAACAACCAAAGAGGTGACAGAACAGGAAGAAAGAAACATGGAATCTGTCAAAAAAAAGAAGCCTATTTACTATGATTGTTAAAAATATTTACAAAATATAATAACATAACATAATACAGACAGATAATTGTATTGGGACCATTGACTTAGTCTAAAATGTGGCCATAACATATCATTAAATTATATGTCTATTTCTAAATGAATGTGTTAAATTTGACACCAAATTGGGGTGGCCACTGCCACCCGCATTCCACCCTTCTAGATCCACCCCTGTTTCACACCCCACTGGGAGCATTTCAGAGGCGCAGCATTTTTCTTAACTTGCTTAGATTTTGTTGATATGGTGATATGGACTTTTGTGCTTCTACCATGGGTGAGTAGGCTATGTAGTTAAAATGTTTTCCCTTTTGTTTGTTTTTGTCTTTCATCAACAATATTATGTCATTTAAGACCTTTATACAGGATTCTTGTTTTAAAATGAGTCAGCTGGAGGCACTGTTTCCAACCATGCCAACTCATGGAGCTAACTGCAATCAATGGCTATCTATAGGTGTTTTCATTGTCTACCTCGTTCCAAAATAAAGGACCAAACTACTAGACATTTTGAGTGGTAAATCCACCAACGTTGTCATTGCAGAGAGACAGGCTTAGCAACAGTAACTAAAGGAGACAGAGCTTAGAGATCAGTCAATTATCTTACCAGTGTGTCCATAGGAGGATTTGCTGTGCCTGCTGAAAGGAGTTAAACAGCTGGGTCCCCCGGGGCCCTCTTCTCCAAACAGACTGGAATGATCAGCAGAGTCAAGAAAGGGCTCAAAAAGGGGATCCAGAGGGTCAGACGATCCTCCCAGTGAGCCCTCCGACCGATAGGAGCTGGAGGTGCTGTAACGCGACGATGAACGGTAGGATGAGGAGGATCTGCGGCTGGAAGATGTCAGTGATGCCATAGCAGAGGATATGTAGTAGCCTTTCACACTTGCACACACACTTAGAAAACACACTCCCACTCTCAATATGCCCCAGCCTCAGAAAACAAGACCTTTTCTCAGGTTTGATTTCTGTTCCTCTTCAGAATAAATACTGACAAAATACAGTCAAAGCTGCGGGTTACGAAAAGCTATTAACCTCTCACTTATTGTCCAGGGGTCTTTGTTGTGGGGCTTTATAAAGCCCTGGTGCATTGTGGGTAAGTAGAGCACAGTGTGGGCGCTATAGTGTTTTTCCTTTAGCCATAAATGGCAGTTTGTCTGACCACTGGTGCCAAGAATGTAACGGACAAACTGATAAGGAGTGGAGACCCCTTCTTATTCGCGCACACTGCACAGATAAGGCTGAAGGGGGGCTCTTGGAGATGCTTCCAGCATGTGGTCAGAAATAGAAGAGTGGTGAGTGGTCAGGTCGTCCGTTGGACTGGCCGAGCACACAATGCGAACACTTTATCAATAATGCACGAAAAAATTGGCCATTTAAGTTCTGCTTACCTGCTAATGGAATAACAGATTCACTCTAAAGTTCAAATCTGAAATGGAGAGTGCTTCCTGGGAGAACAGATTCAAGGCCAAAATCACAAAATCTGCAAAATGGTTATTAGTCTGACAAAAGCCAAAGCGTATACAGCCCCTGGTTGACCTTTACATTCCCTATTTAAAAGCTTAAATTGAAGTGATGTTTGCCTATTGACAACAGAGTTGTCCTCAGTGCTGCATGTCAACGATGACATTCAAGACTCGTATTAATACTTTTATAGTGTATGTGTGTTTTTCATTCGAGGATGGAAAAAATGACATTCAGCAGCACGTCATTTTGCCCTTCAAGATAATGTATCCTCAGTCATAGCAGGGACACTTCATATGTGAGCTATAAAGCTGAAACAATCCAGTTAATACAAGCAGCATACATCAACATGACAGTCCCAATTTGTGCTCTCAGGTGAAACACTTGTATCTGTCCTTGTGTAAAATATTATGCATTAATAAATCTTTTACAGCATATTTTAAGAAAGGCTTTCCAAAACATATTTTTTTTAAAATTTCATTATACACAAAATGACCTGAAAAAAGTGCAGCCTAATAGAAAATAGATGACTTTTTAAAATGTAGAGACTCAGCTATCTCCTTCAACTCCTCACAGTCAGCAGTAGAGGAGTTCATCCATTCAGCTCTCCTGCCAGAGGTCCAGTGTCTCCACTGGGGATAGTTTTAGTCTCTGGGTGGCACACTGTGGTCTCCAGAGCCCAAAACACACTATCTCTCCTGACCTCTAATAAATGGTGTGTCTTTATGAGGTGCTCTGTGGCTGTATTCAGAAGAGAGAGAATGATGTTAATGAGGTGAAAGCAGATAACAACTGAGGAGAAGAAAAGATGTAAAAGAAACTGCATTTAGCATTTTTGAGCATCAGTTAATCATTGTCAAATTAACTGTGATCCTCCTAAATCTTTCATGAGCACTATGGTCACGACCAGCGACTGCAGTGTCTTACACCGATGTGTAGTTAATGCTATGTCAGGGTGTGGCAACTGGTAGAAATTCTGGAGCTGTAGCTGTTTGCACTAAACAACCAAAGCTTTGTAGTAACATAAATAGCCTTAATTAGATATAGATACAAAAAGACGTATAACTCCTTCTCAATTTGTTGAATCCATTGTATTGGTGCTAAAGGTCCAGGATTTAGTGGCATCTAGTGGTGTAATTGTAGATTACAACCCCCTCGCCTCCACTCTCCCATTCCAAGCGTGTAGGAGAAACTACGTTGAATGCAAAACTCACAAAAACAGCTTATTTTCTTGTGATTATATACTGATGAAAACGTACCTATGAATATTATATTCCATTTCTGCCAATAGATACTTTTAAATGTTACACACTGGGCCGTTAACATTAGATTTTGTTAAGACATTATCGCCATTATGGCCATTTTGTGAGATATCGTAGTTGTCAAATTCTTGATATCTCCATATACAGCTGCTGGATATCTGTCAAACATCAACATATTGTTGTCTTGAGAATGTTGACATTGTTTGCATATAGCTTAAAGCACAGCTGTGCAACCTCACAAAACCGTTAACGTAGCTGTAGACTAGTGTTGTTGTAGCAATGTTCACATTTGCTTACAATAATTATGCAAATGCTCGAAAGTAAAGATGGACTGATAGGAACCGTTCTCTGTGTCCTTATTGATATATTGGATTCAAACAGTCACAGACATCTTAAGTCACTGAAATGAAACTTCAGATATTAGGATTTATTTAAGTCTTGACCCAGATACTGCTGGTCATGTCCCGTTCACAGCCTGTGTGGCAGCCACCCAGGCCTGAGCCAATAAAACTGATTTTTTGCTCTGTGACAGAGATCCGATCTTTTCTTCGCTTCTTGAACTGGGGAGATCAGATGTGGTTCCACCCTGTTTCCTTGGTTATGAAAAGATGAGAATTGTACCACAAAGAAGCCAGATTGTCTGAAGTGATCTTAGACTTTGCGCTAATTTCCTGACATATCTGAATTATCATTCTAGGTAAGAACCAAGGTCTGTTCTGTCTGTTTAGAAATGTAATTGATGCAGTAGCTACATTACATTATATAATGATAAATGCAGTGTCTGTTTCTCTTTTATCTCGGAGGGAGTCTGGCGCCCTGTCTACCAGGTAACCTAGGTGATAAGAGATGATTAGAAAAAAAGACGACCTGCAAGGACGCGAGAGCGTAAATATGAGCAACAAACTTCTTGGAAATTACGTGTAATTCTGAAGCCAGGATGACAACATAAAGCATAGATTTGGCATTTTCGAACAATAAGAATATCATCTTTTTGCAGAGAATCTGAGATTCCTAGGGGACTTTCCCTTTTGTGTGTTTGTGTGTTGTGTGTGTATTTGTGTGTGTGAAACGTTTCCCAGTGTGGAAATAAGCCTCCCTGTACCAGCTAGGATGTGAGTTTCCCACTTCATAGAGCCACACACACACACACACGTGTGAAAATCAGCTGAAGAAGTACGTGTGTGAAGACATGGACATTTTGAGGGCGGAAAAATACGTTTGAAAAGGCATGTTGTTGTCACGTAAGGCGCCTGATCATGTTGCACAAACATTTTATATAGGGCCCGAGCAACTGAACGTGCGAAGGCCCTATTGTAGCATTTTGAAGGGAATTCTTCTTTTTCTTTTCCTCCTAAACGGACGCATATTTAGAAGCTTGCCCAATGCTCAAGAAACTCGCAGTGAAACTCGGCACACATGTCAGGTCGGTGGCGAAATAATTTATATTCTATGTGTCGCTTTCGGTTGGCCACGCTAAGGTGGGACGCTACTATCAGGTAAAAAGCGTTTAAGGGCTAATAACTTCTTCAGT